TGAGTAGATGGGTTTCCTCCAGTTTAGAGCATTTAATAATCACAAAGATATCATCAACATAATTTTTGTTGGATGGTGGGGGGGGCGGCACTGTCTGTTCCAGTCTTTGCATTACGGCTTCCGCTATTAATCTTGATATCGGTGATCCCACAGGTGTTCCGCTGATCTGTCTATATACCTTGCCATTGAAGGTGAAGTGAATTGTGAGGCACAGATCCAGTAGTCTGAGGGTGCCGTTTTTGCTGATGGTGTTGGTGTTGTCGGATGTCTGTATCCCTAGTCTGTCTAGCAGCAAGGCTAGTGTTTCCTTAGCCAGGGGAATGTTTATGGAGGAAAATAGTGCAATCACATCGAAGGAAACCATGATCTCGTCCTCATATATTCTGGTGTCCTTGATGATGTTGAGGAATTCTTGGGCAGACTGGATAGAGTGGTTTGAACCATCTGCTAGGTGTTTCAGTCTCCTTTGTAGTTCTTTCACCAGTCTGTATGTCGGTGTACCCGGCAGTGAGACTATGGGTCTGAGGAGGACCTCCAGCTTGTGTACCTGGGGAGTCCGTAGAAGCAGGGTGTGTTTGATCCCTCTGGTAATCAAATTTGCAAATTTCACCCGTTTTGTGTAGATTCCTCAGGGTGGTTATAATACAATTTTCCAGTTGTGGTTTTGGGTCTGTCGCCATTTATTGGTAGGTATCAGTATCTGCAAGTAAAAAGTGTTCGCTTTCTCGATGTAGTGTGTTCTGTTTAGTATGACAGTCATGTGCCCTTTGTCCACTGGTAGGATTACAATGTTTCTGTCTCTCTTGAGTCCCTGTAGGGCTTTCCTCACTAGTGTGTCGAATGTATTCCCTTCACTCCTTCTGCTTTGTGTTGGGGCTACAATCTGTCTGACAGTTTGTGGGTTTCTTTGGTGAGTCCATTGTTTTTTTACGTGGATTCCAGTGCAGCTAGGAAGTCAGTTTTATTAGCATCTCTGTGATTGTAGTTTATTCCGCATACCAGCATGGCTTTTTCAGTGTCTGAGAGTGGCAGGTCAGACAGGTTCCTTATCCAAGTGTCTGCCCTGTCTATATTGTTGTTGTGGGTAAGTTTAGTCAGTTTTTCCTCTAGGGTCTGTCTTTTCTTGGTCTTGGCCTTCTGTTGTTTCATGGTAATGGCTCATTCTAGTGTTGCTATCCATTCTTGGCTGGTCGAGTTTGAATACAAAGTTTCTTGGCGTGCAATTTTCTGCTCATATTTGTTGAGGCAGTTGTGGACATCGTTAATCATTGCCCATAACATTGTGCAGCCATTCTATTAAGCTGTTTTCCTTGTTCATGGGTTGTTTAGCGGTGGCTTGTCTTGTACACTGTATGGCAGTACCTGTTTTCTGATGCATTCACGTGGAATGTGAAGTTGCTCACAGGTGGCACTCAGTCATTTAGCATTCATTTCCTATCATCAAGCTAGTTTGAGCGTGTTGCACCCCGTAGGTGTTCAAGGTTTTTGAGAAGATTTGTAGCTTGGGTTGTTGATGCGGTTGTTGACTTTCAGCGTCTTTAGAAACAAAGGTTACCCGAAAAACATGGTCCACCAATACCGACACAACAGACCACAACAGGAAGACACAACACATCCAGAGACACTAGTTACTCTACGAAACATTAAGTACATATCTGAAATGACCATCAGATTACTACGCCTACTAGGAATCATGGTCGCCTACAAACCGACAGCTTCACTATGACAGCTACTGACAAGAATCAAGGATCTGACAACCACAACTAACAGAACCAACATTATTTACAAGATATCATACAAAGACAGCCAAAAACATTACATTGGGCAAACCGAAAGAAAACTAGCCATCAGGATTCACCAACATCAACTAGCTATCACTCATTTCAATGTACATGGACAAAGAGCAACACCAGTTCAACTGGGACAATGTAGCCATCCGAGGACAAACCAACCAAAGACACTCACGAGAATTCCTGGTGGCCTGGCACTCAAACCAGAACTCCATTACCAAACATGTAGAGCTGGGCCCCATATATCAACCACTAAGAAACAAATCCGAAAGTGATGTCACACATCCCAGCAAACCGAGACACATAAATAGCAAGTGTAACAGAACACTAACACTTCACCAGAGGTGCACTGATGATGTTACCTAATGTGGTGATGAAACATCTGGAAACAAACTTACTAGCTTGGCCAGCAAGTAAACAACAACACTGTATTCTGTCAACAACTGTATTCTGCACTCTATTCTGCCACCCTGGTACACTTTGTATGGTAAGATCTACCTGTACGGCACGCAAAACAACATTTTTCACTGTAGCTCGGTACATGTGACAACAATAAATCAATCCATTTGACCAATCCACTTGGTATTTGCCAAGTCAACATGGATTGCCAAAAGGGAAATCATGCTGGACAAACCAATTGCAGTCTCTTGAAATCATAACTAGTAGAATAAATAAGGGATGTAGCGCATTGGATTTTCAGAACACTTTTGACAAAGTAGACGAGTGTGCGCAAAATAAAGGAAGGCAATGGCCTAGTAGTATTATTGCTAGACTATTAATCCAGAGACCCAGATAATGCCCTGGGATCGAATTTGAATTCAATAAACAAAACTCTGGAATTAAGAATCTACTGATGACTATGAAACCATTGTCGATTTTCAGGAAAACACATCTGGTTCACTAATGTCCTCAGGGAAGTAAATCTGCCATCCTCACCTGGTCTGGCCGACATATGACTCCAGACCCACAGCAATGTGGTTGATTCTCAATTGCCCTCTGAATTGGCCTAGCAAGCTATTCAGTTGTACCAACCGCTATGAATTCTCAAAGAAAATGAAACCGGACGGATCACCTGGCATCGGCCTAGGCACCGAAAAAGGCAATGGCAGAATCAGCCCTGTCGACCCTGCGTAGTCCTCCTCACGAACATCTGAGGGCTATTGCCTAAATTGGGAGAGCTGTCCCAAAGACTAGTCGAGCAACAGCCTGACAGAGTCATACTCACAGAATTATCCCTTACAGATGATGTCCCAGACACCACCATCACCATCCCTGGATATGTCCTGTCTCATCGGCAGGACAGACCCAGCAAAGGGGGCAGCACAGTGGTTTACAGTCGAGAGGGAGTTGCTCTGGATGTCCTCAACATTGACTGCCAGACATCTTAAAGTCTCGTGACTTCAGGTTAAATATGGGCAAGAAAGTGCTAATTACCACGTACCGTCCTTTCTTGGCTGATGAATCAGTACTCCTCCATGCTGAACAACACTCAGAGGAGGCAACTGAGGATGGCAAGGGCACAAAATGTTCTCTGGCTGGGGGATTTCAATGTCCACCACCAAGAGTGGCTCAGCAGCAGTACTACTGATTAAGCTGGTTTGGTCCTAAAGGACATAGCTGCTAGACTGGGTCTGCGGAAGGTGTTGAGGGAACCAACCAAGAGGGAAAAACATACTTGACCTCATGCTGACCAATCTGCCAGCCAGATGCATCTGTCCATGACAGTATTGGTAAGAGCGACCACCGCACAGTCCTTCTGGAGATGAAGTCCCCCTTTCACATTGAGAATAACCCCCACCATGTTGTGCGGCACTATGACTATGCTAAATGGGACAAACTTCGAACAGATCTAGCAACTCAAAGGATGGACAACAGCACAGTTGTACTCCAGCACAATCTGTAATATCTTGGCGTGGCATATTCCCAATTCAAGCATAACCATCAAGCCAGGGGAGTAACCCTGGTTCAATGGAGAGTGCACAAGGGCATGCCAGGAGCAGCATCAAGCATTCCTAAAGATGAGGTGTCAACCTGGTGAAGCCACCAACCAGGACTACTTGCACGCCAAACAGCATAAGCAGCAAGTGACAGACAGAGCTAAGCAATCCCATAACCAACGGATCAGATCTAAGCTCTGCAGTCCTGATACATCCAGTCACGAATGGTGGTGGACGATTTAAAAACTCACTGGAGGAGGAAGCTCCACAAATATCCCCATCCTCAATGATGGAAGAACACAGCACATCAGTGAAAAAGACAAGGCTGAAGTTTTTGCAGCAATCTTCAGACAGAAAAGCCAGGTGGATGATCCATCTCGGTGTCCTCCAGTGGTCCCCAGCATTATAGATACCTGTCTTCAACCAGTTTGATTCACTCCATATGATATCAAGAAACAGTTGGAGACTCTGGATACTGCAAAGGCTATGGGCTCTGACAACATTCTGGCAATAGTACTGATGACTTGTGCTCCACAACTTGCCACTCCCCTAGCCAAGCTGTTCCATTACAGTTATAACACTGGCATTACACCGAACAGTGTGGAAAATTGCCCAAGTATGCCCTGTATATAAAAAGCAGGACAAATCCAAATTGGCCAATTACTGCCCCATCAGTCTACTCTCAATCATCAGTAAAGTGATGGAAG